CTCAAGAAATGTGATGAGCTGTCAGAAAGTAAAAGCTGTTTAAATATCTATGCCATAGTTTGTAGACGCTATAACTTTCACACAAAGCAATAAATATACACACTTACTGGAATTTTTTTTGTTTATAGCGCCAAAAATAAAAAGTGCACAGGTGATCAAATACCACCAAAAGAAAGCTCTATTTTTGTGAAAAAAAAAAAAGACGCAAATTTAATTTATGTACCGTATTGCATGACTGCGCAATTGTCAGTTAAACTAGTGCAGCGCTATATAGCAAACAAATGGCGTAAATTTCAGTATCTATACCATAGTTTGTAGATGCTATAACTTTCACACAAAGCAATCAATATACACTTATTGGGATTTTTTTTACCAAAAACATGTAGCAGAATACATGTTGGCCTAAATTTATAACTAACTTTAAGTTTACTATATATTTTTTATAGGTGAAAGTAAAAAAAAAATAATTTTTCTTCAAAATTTTCGGTCTTTTTTTGTTTATAGTGTGATAAATAAAAAGCACACAGTTATTTTGATTTTTTTAATTATTTTTACACTGTCCCTTTCATTTTTTTTTTTTATCACTTTTAATGCTATCACAGGGAATGCAAATATCCCTTATAACTTCAATGGGCATTGTCATATTCGTTTTTGAGAAATCTGCGTTCTATCAGACTCTAGATGTCTCCTCTGCCCTTACATTATCTAATCAATCCAAGATCGGTGTGATCAGATGCTTTCCCCATTTACAAATGGCACTGTTTATATCCTGCGAAACTGAAGTGATGAAATGCTCGTAGCTTCCGATTTCTTTGGCTATAGAGATGATTGGCACCATTCTGGTCTCCAATCAGCTCTATGGTCAGCTGGCAAAAACACCGGCTGCATTCTCAGATTCCCCCCGATGGCACAGGACTGCCCGAGAAGGCCGTGGAAGGCAGCGGGGGAGGGGGGGCATCATCTCCAGCTGCTTGTTAAAGCAATTCTGCAGCTTATTAGCCACTAGGATTGCTTTTACATGAAAGCTGATTACGGCTGAAAAAAATTATACCTGCTAACGCTGCATTAATGTGAACGCTGGTATAGTGCTGATCTGATCAAAGATATTGATCCGTTTAGACACTTTATAAGCAATGGTGGTTTATTGTGTGAGTGTGTTCCTGGCAATCAAGGGGTTAAATGTGATTACTGGTATACTGACGGGCAATCTGATGCTATCTGGGAGGGGCGTGAAAACCACAGGAGTTTAAATCACTTATATATGTGATTTTACACACCCGTGCCTCCCTGTAGCAATATTTCTGCTATAGGGTGGTCAGGAAGTGGTTACATAAGCGGTTTGTGTTATGGTGCTGCGTCACTTTAACTGAAAATTGCGTGGTCATGCAACGCTGCACCAAAATGAAATTTACGTCCTTTTTTCCCACACGAATTGGGCTTTCTTGTGGTATTTGTTCACCTGTGTGTTTTTTATTTTTTACGCTATTAAAAAAAAGTTTACGTGGTTTACGTGAAATTTATAGTGCTTACAAATGTTGGTCTTTTTTGTTATAGCGCAAAAGATAAAAAATGCACAGGCGATCAAATACCACCAAAAGAAAAATCAATTTGTGGGGAAAAAAAGGATGTAAATTTCATTCGGGTGCAGTGTTGCATGACCACGCAATTGTCAGTTACAGCAATGCAGTGCCGTAACATAAAAAATGGCCTGGTCAGGAAGGGGGGTAAATCCTCTGGAGGGCATGTGGCTAAAGTAAAAGAAATAGATACAAACAAGTGTGGCTGTTATAATGAGTGCAGTAATGGACAACAGGATATAGTATTTGGTACGTTCGGGACAACCAGAGCAGTAACATGATTACAGACAATTGCAAAGATACAAAGCAATTAGCTGCAGACTGGTACTGTCAGGGCTCCAGGGTATGACCAGAGGTATGTGAACTGACGCAGGGAAACGCAGGCTTCAGATAAGTTATAAACAATATAATTTATTAAAGACTAACAATACAAACATAAACGCAGTGCAATACTAAAACATAACACAGTGCAAACGAACCAAACCAAACCACCCTCAGATAACAGTACATACAATGCAAGCGTCAACAGGCAGGCCGGGTCAATAACAATCGGGCAGGTAGGTACAGGGGGTCAGGCAGAGAATGGTCGGGGTCACAAGCCAGGGATAAAACAGGAGAAGTCAGCAGAGGTCCGGATCAGGCAGGGTCAGCAACGAATCAGACCGGGACAGGGACAGGGACAGGAACAGGAACAGGAACAGGGATGCAGGAACAAGATACAGGGCCCAGGAAAAACACACACCAAGGCAGAGACTGCAGGTCTGGCCATCCCATAAATACACCTGCATAATCAACTTCAGGTGTTTGGCTGGCTGCAGGGTTGAGTCTCTGATTGCTGGGAGCACCCGCTGGCCAGCCCTGGTACTGCAGCCCACAAGACAGGTGAGTCCCACCATTAGTGGCAAGTCATTCCTGACAGTACCCCCCCCTCAAGGAGCGGCCTCAGGATGCTCCAAACAGTCTTAGCTGGGCAAAATGTTCCACCGCCCGGTTCTGGTAACTGGCGGGATATCAAAGACTGGCACATCGGGCAGGACTCCGGGCAGCTGCACACCGGGCAGGACTCCGGGCAGCGGCACACCGGGCAGGACTCCGGGCAGCGGCACATCGGGCAGAGGCACATCGAGCAGGACTCCGGGCAGCGGCACACCGGGCAGGACTCCGGGCAGCGGCACACCGGGCAGGACTCCGGGCAGCGGCACACCGGGCAGGACTCGGGCAGCGGGCACCGGGCAGAGGCACATCGAGCTGGACTCCGGGCAGCGGCACACCGGGCAGGACTCCGGGCAGCGGCACATCGGGCAGGACTCCGGGCAGCAGGCACATCGGGCTGGACTCTGGGCAGCGGCACACCGGGCAGGACTCCGGGCAGCGGCAAACCGGGCAGAGGCACATCGAGCTGGACTCCGGGCAGCGGCACATCGGGCAGGACTCCGGGCAGCGGCAGCGGCACACTCGGGCAGCGGACTCGGGCAGAGGCACATCGGGCTGGACTCCGGGCAGCGGCACACCGGGCAGGACTCCGGGCAGCGGCACACCGGGCAGAGGCACATCGAGCTGGACTCCGGGCAGCGGCACACCGGGCAGGACTCCGGGCAGCGGCACACCGGGCAGGGACTCCGGGCAGGCGGCACACCGGGCAGGACTCCGGGCAGCGGCACATCGGGCAGGACTCCGGGCAGCGGCACATCGGGCAGGGGGCAGAGGCACATCGGGCTGGACTCCGGGCAGAGGCACATCGGGCTGGACTCCGGCAGAGGCACATCGGGCAGGACTCCGGGCAGAGGCACATCGGGCAGGACTCCGGGCAGAGGCACATCGGGCAGGACTCCGGGCAGAGGGCAGAGGCACATCGGGCAGGACTCCGGGCAGAGGCACATCGGGCAGGACATGGGCAGAGGCACATCGGGCAGGACTCCGGGCAGCGGGCGGGCATCGGGCAGAGGCACATCGGGCTGGACTCTGGGCAGAGGCACATCGGGCTGGACTCCTCCGGGGGCAGAGGCACATCGGGCAGGACTCCGGGCAGAGGGCAGAGGCACATCGGGGCAGGCACATCGGGCAGGGCGGGAGGCACATCGGGCAGGACTCCGGGCAGAGGCACATCGGGCAGGACTCCGGGCAGCGGCACATCGGGCAGGACTCCGGGCAGCGGCACATCGGGCAGGACTCCGGGCAGTGGCACATCGGGCAGGACTCCGGGCAGGACTCCGGGCAGAGGCACATCAAGCTGGACTCCGGGCAGAGGCACATCGAGCTGGACACCGGGATCACCAGGCGAGCAGCAGGCACCGGGCCACCAGGCGGAGCAGCAGACACCAGGCCACCAGGGCGGAGCAGCAGGCACTGGGCCCCTAGGTGAGCGGCGGGCACCAGGCCCCCAGGAGGGGGGAGGCGGGGCACCGGGCCCCCAGGAGGGGCGACAGGCATTGGGCCCCCAGGAGGAGGGGGGCGACAGGCATCGGGCCCCCAGGCGGGGCGACAGGCATCGGCCCCCCAGGCAGGGCGACAGGCATCGGGCCCCCAGGAGGGGCGACGGGCACCGGGCCCCCAGGCGGGGCGGCGGGCGCCAGGCCCCCAGGCAGAGCGGCGGGCGCCGGGTCCCCAGGAGGGGCGACAGGCATCACACCCCCAGGCAGAGCGACAGGCATCGGGCCCCCAGGCGGGGCGACAGGCATCGGGCCCCCATGTGGAGCAGCGGGCGCCGGGCCCTCAGGCGGAGCGACAGGCACCGGGCCCCCAGGAGGGGCGGCAGGCACCGGGCCCCCCCAGGAGGAGCGACGGGCGCCGGGCCGGCAGGCGGAGCGGCGGGCGCTGGGCCCCCAGGCGGCGGCGTGGCGGGCACCGGGCCCCCAGGCGGAGCGGCGGGCACCGGGTCATCAGGCACGACAACGTTACGGGCATCGGGTTACCAGGCATCAGGTCATTTGGCTCGCCAGCGGGCACCGCGTAATCTGGCAAGGCAGTGGGCACCGAGTCACCAGGCACAACAGTGGGTTCCGAGTCAACTGGCATGACCACGGGCACTGGGTCAGACATTGGATCGTCTGGCTCGACAGCGGGCATCGGGTCACCAGGCATCAGGTCATTTGGCTCGACAGCGGGCACCGTGTCATCTGGCAAGGCAGTGGGCACCGAGTCACCAAGCACGACAGTGGGCTCTGAGTCAATTGGCACGATAGCGGGCACCGGGGTCATCAGGTAGCGGATCGTCTGGATCGACAGCGGGCACCGGGTCATCTGGCGTTGGATCGTCTGGCTCGACAGCGGGCATCGGGTCACCAGGCATGACAGCGGGCACTGGGTCACCAGGCATCAGGTCATTTGGCTCGCCAGCGGGCACCGCGTCATCTGGCAAGGCAGTGGGCACCGAGTCACCAGGCACGACAGTGGGCTCCGAGTCAACTGGCATGACCGCGGGCACTGGGTCAGACATTGGATCGTCTGGCCCGACAGCGGGCATCGGGTCACCAGGCATGACAGCGGGCACTGGGTCATCAGGCATGGGATTGTCTGGCTCGACAGCGGGCATCGGGTCACCAGGTATGACAGCGGGCACTGGGTCACCAGGCATCAGGTCATTTGGCTCGTTAGTGGGCACCAAGTCATCTGGCAAGGCAGTGGGCACCGAGTCACCAGGCACGACAGTGGGCTCCGAGTCAACTGGCATGACCGCGGGCACTGGGTCAGACATTGGATCGTCTGGCCCGACAGCGGGCATCGGGTCACCAGGCATGACAGCGGGCACTGGGTCATCAGGCATTGGACCGTCTGGCTCGACAGCGGGCATCGGGTCACCAGGCATGACAGCGGGTACTGGGTCATCAGGTACCGGATCGTCTGGATCGACAGCAGGCATCGAGTCAACTGGCCTAATGGAATCATCAGGCTGGATCAGTTCATCAGGCTGGGTAGAAACATCATGCTGGGTAGAGGCATCAGGCTGAATGGAGGCATCAGGCTGAATGGAGGCATCAGGCTGAATGGAGGCATCAGGCTGAATAGAGGCATCAGGCTGAATAGAGGCATCAGGCTGAGTAGAGGCATCAGGCTGGGTGGAGGCATCAGGCTGGGTGGAGGCATCAGGCTGGGTGGAGGCACCAGGCTGCACCACGGAAGGCAGGTTCTCAGATGGGAGGCTGACCGGTTTGGATACTGGCAGGATGGTATTGGTTGGAAAGAACTTTCGCCTTTTCCTGGTTTTAGTTACCGGAGCACCGTAAGTAAGCGCAGGTTTGTAAACGGATGGAGCAGCTGGAGACAGAGAAGAGCTGGAGGATGGAACAGGGGAGGGAACAGTTGCTACAGAGGGCTTCTTTACAGGGTTAAAGGCAGGATAGGTGCAGCGAGTGGGAACAGGGTACTGACATGCGGTAGATAGCAGGGTATACTGGGAGGCTGTAACTGGAGGTGCTGTTGGGAATGCAGGAATAGAGCTTTGAAGAAATAGATTAGAAGCAGGACTGGGTTTTTGCAAGCTGACTGAGGCTGAGTGCAACAAGTCTGACCATGTCTGCAGTATGGGTTGAACAAAGCCCAGCTTACACAAAGCCTGTCTGACAAAAGACTGCACTGCGTTTATACAATCTCTTAGTACCTGTTGTGAACATGCAGAATAACGCTCCAGAAAGTAATCCACATCATCCTCTAATAACCATACCAGGGACTCTACCTGGTCGGCACTAAATGGGGGCAAAAATTCATCCCTGCATTCGGGGGTACCAGATGAAACCAACTCAGCACAAACCTGAATCAATGGCTGCACCTCAGAGAACTCTGTGCCCTGATCTACTAGGCAATGAGCGATCCGTATACATTCTAGCAGTTCATCCCTGGGATACTCCTTCAGAGTTTGATAAGCATACTCTCTGTCATCAAACACTAGCAGAGATACAGTGGGGATCGAAAGTTTGGGCACCCCAGCTAAAAATTTTGTATTAATGTGCAAAAAGAAGCCAAGGAAAGATGGAAAAATCTCCAAAAGGCATCAAATTACAGATTAGACATTCTTATAATATGTCAACAAAAGTTAGATTTTATTTCCATCATTTACACTTTCAAAATAACAGAAAACAAAAAAATGGCGTCTGCAAAAGTTTGGGCACCCTGCAGAATTTATAGCATGTACTGCCCCCTTTGCCAGGCTGAGACTTGCCAGTGTCATGGATTGTTCTCAATCATCGTCTGGGAAGACCAGGTGATGTCAATCTCAAAGGTTTGAAATGCCCAGACTCATTTGACCTTGCCCCAACAATCAGCACCATGGCTTCTTCTAAGCAGTTGTCTAGAAAACCGAAACTGGAAATAGTTGACGCTCACAAAGCTGGAGAAGGCTATAAGAAGATAGCAAAGCGTTTTCAGATGTCAATATCCTCTGTTCGGAATGTAATTATGAAATGGCAGTCATCAGGAACAGTGGAAGTTAAAGCAAGATCTGGAAGACCAAGAAAAATATCAGACAGAACAGCTCGCAGGATTGTGAGAAAAACAATTCAAAACCCACGTTTGACTGCACAATCCCTCCAGAAAGATCTGGCAGACACTGGAGTTGTGGTACACTATTCCACTATAAAGAGATACTTGTACAAATATGGTCTTCATGGAAGAGTCATCAGAAGAAAGCCTCTTCTACGTCCTCACCACAAAAATCATCGTTTGAACTTTGCAAATGAACATATAGACAAGCCTGATGCATTTTGGAAACAAGTTCTGTGGACCGACGAGGTTAAAATTGAACTTTTTGGCCGGAATGAGCAAAGGTACGTTTGGAGAAGAAGGGGCACAGAAGTTAATGAAAAGAACCTCTGTCCAACTGTAAGCATGGGGTTGGATCAATCATGCTTTGGGGTTGTGTTGCAGCCAGTGGCACAGGGAACATCTCACGAGTAGAAGGAAAAATGGATTCAATAAAATGTCAGCAAATTTTGGATGGTAACTTGATGCCATCTGTGAAAAAGCTGAAGTTAAAGAGAGGATGGCTTCTACAAATGGATAATGATCCTAAACACACCTCGAAATCCACAGGGGATTACATCAAGAGGCATAAACTGAAGGTTTTGCCATGGCCTTCACAATCTCCTGACCTCAACATAATTGAAAATCTATGGATAGACCTTAAAAGAGCAGTGCGTGACAGACAGCCCAGAAATCTCAAAGAACTGGAAGACTTTTGTAAGGAAGAATGGGCAAAGATACCTCAAACAAGAATTGAAAGACTCTTGGCTGGCTACAAAAAGCGTTTACATGCTGCTGTGTATTTCTCTGCACAGCAGAGAAATACACAGCACTATGTTTCCCAAGTAAAACACACACAGCACATGTTGTAAAACAGCACGCATTTAACCCTTTGATCATCCCAGATTTTAACCCCTTCCTGCCCCGTGTCATTAGTACAGTGTCAGTGTTATTTATTAGCACTGATCACTGTATTAGTGTCATTGGGATGTCAGTGGCAGTTAGTCAGTTCCCCCCCAGTGTCAGAATGCCCGCCGCAGTCTTGCAGTCCTGCTATAAGTCGCTGATCACCGTCATTACTAGTATTAAAAAAAAATTAAAAATTCCAGTAAATATACTTTCACGTAAATCAATTAATTTACATGTATTGGGATTGTTTTTTAGCAAAGACGTAGCAGAATACATTTTAGCCTAAAATTATGACAAAATTTGATTGTTTACATTTTTTATTGGACACGTTTAAAAGCAAAAGTCAAAAATATTGTTTTCTTTTTTCAAAATTGTCTTTTTTTTTGTTTATAGTGCACAAAAAAATGCACAGGTGATCAAATACCACTGAGTGAAAGCTCTATTTGTGGGGAAAAAAGGACATAAATTTTATTTGGGTGCAGTATTGCATGACCACACAATTGTCAGTGAAAGTAACGTGGCACCATATCGCTAAAAATGGCCTGGTCAGGAAGGGGGGGGGGTAAATCCTCTGGAGGGCAAGTGGTTAATACAAAGATTTTCACTCACGGTATACACTGTACTTATTTTTCTGACACTACAGTAGATGTCCTCGGTCCTTGAAATCCAGGTTTGCTTAGTTGTACAAGCTTGTATATCCTTCTGCATCCTCTGACAAAAAAGGAAAGTGTGGACTGGTATGAAACAGCCTTTAAAACTTTCAGGAAATAGTCTAGAAGATTGGAAAACTCTACATTTTTAAGAGGTTCCTGGGGTATGCATGAAGATGTTTAAAGGCACAAGGAGGCAGCTTTAGAATTGTATTCCTATTCTTGTCATAAAGTTTTTTTTAAATAAAAATGTACATCTTAAAAGGAGTACAATATTTTGAAAGCACATGCAAATTTTAAGCTTTTCTTTTTTAATGCATTAATTTTCCATTAAACATTTTTAAATAATTTTATTTTGTATTTGATTGAGGCAGGTAAACATTCATGAGCTCTAATTTACTAACATACAGTTGTTTTTGAGAGTTGTTGATGACTGCAGGATAACAATTTAGTGTGTGCTAAATCATTGCTATCTTGCATGTGTAGCCATTCCCTTTATTTCTATCAGAACCCTCTTACCTGCCAACATGTCATTGTATAGTGAGACCCAAGTGTGTATCTGTTACAAAATGCAAGTTGGCAACAGCTGTTAGTTCTTTTGTGCGTCACCAGGAGATTTTACAGTCTGACACACTGGATAAGTTAGGGAGGTGTTACAAGTCATATTGTAATTCGATGTGTCAAATTTAAAATGTTTACAATAATGACAGTATACACAACAAAAGTACCTGGTGATCTGAGCCATTGTGAGATTTGTGGCAGACTTTTGAAATATATTATTAATGTATTACAAAGTTAATACTTTACATTCTTAGACTTTAAACACAAGCAACCAAAATCCAGAGGATACAGGTAATTCACTTCTGTTGTTTAGACCCTACAAATAACAGGGCACCTGCAATCAAGCACAGAAATTTAAATCTCAACTCAAAATATTTGTAACTTCCTGGCAATTTGATATTGTAAGGTAGCAAAAAATAATATTACTTGAATATTCCACATCACTTTAAACAGACTATTAAACCATTAACATTGATGCTTGTCTCTAAAGAAGCCTACAACTAAATATCACTGAGACAAAATTATTGCACAGATTCATGGAACTTGAAAGATACATAGGGATTATTCACTAAAATTCAATAACGGAAAATTTCTGATGCAGAAAACAATTTGCTTTTTGATGATTGCATTACTTTTTCACATGTAGGAATTAAAGTGGAACTCCACCCAAAAGGGGAAGTACCACTTGTTTGCCTCCTCCCCCCTCCTCTGCCACATTTGGCACTTTTTGGTACCTGCTACCACTTCTGAGTCATTTGGCCCCAGTGAACTGAGCCAGAAGTTTGGTCCCCCTTCCTAACCCCCTGCAGTCTTCTGGGACACTTCACAGGTCCCAGAAGACTGTGGCCTATTCACAAAGTGCAGTACACTTCCTGCATTTGCAGTAGGGAACTGGCTGTGAAGCTGTAAGGCTTTCCCTTACTGAAGATGCCAGCACCCATAGTTGATTGAAAAATTGCCTTGGGGTGAGGCATTTGCTAGACCCCTGGACAGGTAACTGCCCTTATATTAAAAATCAGCAGCTACAGTATTTGCAGATGCTGACTTTAAATTTTTTGGGAGGAGCCCGGAGATTTACTTTAATACAGTTCTGAACGATGCCCCATGCTAATTTGCCTATGAATTTAAGTCATTACTGAATTATAAAGTGAACCTGTACTGAGTGCTGGTTGGGATCCTGAGCAGCCAACAGCCTGGCAAGAGTGCAGGATGGTAAGAGAGTCCTGTGTTAGCAATGACCATGTTGACTTTGAGTCTACATAAGTATTTCTACTTTTCACTCTGGCAGGAAA